GTGTGAGGCTTTGGGATGACAAGGAGTCTTTTGGTAGCTGTTTTGAGAAGTGGCTAGACTTAGAGCTTGACCAGCACCTAGGGTGTCTTATTTTGATGTCTTCAAGATGTTGTATATATATATATATATATATATAATCTCTATAATGATACTTTTTCTATGTATTATATATGGTTCTATATCATAATCCTAACAATTTTCTGTTTTTCCCAAAAAAAAGACAATTTTCTGTTTCAAGACGCATTTCGGATATATGCAGAAAATGAAAGTAATAGCCGTAGGTCAAGGTGCTATGTTACTGTCGATTGCAACCTTGCTTTCAAATCGAAAGAATTAGTTAATAATAATAATTTATAAATCACAGTAGGTTTGTACTTGAGTTCTTTTTTCTTTTCTTTGTGAATTATAATTATTTGAACACTATTTTTATTCCAGTTTTCTAATTTTAAAGTGTAAGATAGAAAAATTATTAAACAAATAATTGCTAAAAAATATTAAATATACAATACTTTTCATCAAACTTGAATTACCCTTAAAGACCACACCACTTCAAAAAAAATAGATCAATAATTATAAGACATGACAAGTAAGTTCAATAAAGGAGTAAAAGTTAACAATTTAATTTCAAGATTTTAGTAAAATAAAATAAATTATAATTTAAATTTTTTTAAAAATTAAAGATAAAGATAAAAGAAAAAAAATTAAAAATTTATTTATGATTTTAATTAAATACTTAAATAAATTTAGAAAAAATAAAAAAAGTTAATAATATATTATACTTAGTTTTTTACATCTATTATTATTGATTTATTTTCTTAAAAATATGGATAAATTTTTATAGAGTAGCAGAAAAAAGTTATTAATTAATTATTCACAATTAATTTAGTTTCTCTAAAATAATTTTTTATATAAATTAATTTAGTTTCTCTAAATTTCTAATATGAATAATATCTATTTCCATAAACTTAATTAATTAACGGTGGAGAAACGAATCTCCATATCCGAAATGCTTCTAGATTCTGTAGAAAGGTGACACGTTGAATAATCAGTGGTGCAAGATTATTGCAGAAAAAAAAAAACCTCTTAAGCAAGAATAAAATAAAAGATTGGTTCAAAATGACAGCCTTTGAAATTTATGGTTACTTATTTTGTATAAGCACTATTATATGACATAGACTTATTCGTTTCCCTTTCTAGTTTCACGTCGATCGATTGCACTTTCATAGTTTAATTTCACACGTCTTCTTGTCTTTTTGTTTGGTTCATTGATGGGGAGCATATTCATCCTATATATCGATTTAATTCAAATTGAACTTTCTTAGGAATATTATATAATTGGCTCCACTTATGTATGGAGTATATGGACGGACGACAACTTTATTTCATTATAATATATGTTACATACAAAAAATATATTATAAATATAAGTATATATTTATTTATTATATAGCTACACGTAATTTTAGTATTGATTTTGAATGAGATTTAACAACATATTTTGTGTATCATTATAGTTTATATTTACACTTTTTAACAATATACTAATATATATTATGTTTATTGTGTAGGTAAAAGTAATTTTTAGTGGCACTTGTGTCACTATAAGATGTGTGTCATTATATGACAATTTTCTTCTAATATTTCTTTGTGAAATGGTATATTCTCCCAAAATATTCTCCGTATTTTAATTAATTTGTTGATTTCGATCTATTGTTTAATAAATTAAATATAGATAAAAAATTTCTTGTATATTTGGAGGAAATTTCAGATGCTATTTTTGGAGAATAAAACATCACTCTTTTTTTTTCTTTTTTTTTTTTTTCCTTTTCTTGTCGGTCAAAATGTATACATTGTGTTAATAAGAGGGAGGCTAATTCTGGTCGTAACACTATAATACTGTGTCTCTAGTTAATTCAAATGATTTTTACATATGAAAATTAATCAAATAGATTGTATGAATTAACATTTAGATAAAGCAATCAAGAAACTAAAAATAAGGGTATGTACACAATATTTATATTAGTTTAGTTAGAATCAGTATGATTTATATCCAATCTTCTAATCTTCTAATCATCATGATTAAAAATCTCACTAAATCTTTTTGATTTTAGAAGTTTTATAATCACAAACATATGTAACCTACTTTTATAAGTTTAAAGAACCTTATTTCTTGAATCTTAAGAAGCACCTTTATAGAAATCTTCTTACAAATAATCTTTATCACTTGAGGTTAATTAAGATTCAAAAACAACAAGAATAAAGGAAGGGTATTGCCTAATTTATAGAAACAAACAATACATGTGAAAAGTTTAAACCATGGACTCTACTATCATTGATGATGACTATTCATTGATAAGTGTCCATTTTATTTAAATTATGTGATTAACTTGACACTTATTTAACTTGGTTTTAAAATTAAGAAAATTTTAAGTTAACCCCTAAATGTGGAAAATCAAAAGGTTGTGTAAATAAGTCATTTTGTAGATAGTTGATAGGATTTCTATTAATAACCCTTTTGCTTCTTGTCTTGTAGGATTAAAAGAGGATTTTGGAGTCTTAAAACACCAAAACTACTCAGCCTTTTGAAATGGCTTAACAGATCAATGGTAGAGAGCAAGACTTGGAGTAGAGGTCAAACGCTCAACTGTTTGGAAAGGGTTGAGCATATTGACTTTAGAGGGATGCATGTTTTTGGCTTCCCATGCAGATTCAAAAGGGCTTAACCATTGAAGTTTCTTTACCATGAAGAATCCTCCAAACTACTCAATTGTTTGGAAATGGTTAAGTGGTTTACCCTCTCCCCTCTATGCTCTATTTTATTTTCTTGCACCTATATAAGGACTTGGAGGAAAAATAGATGAGGTGAACGGTGGAAACTTAAGCAAAAAATTATAGAGCAAACAAGGAGTCCAAGGATCAATTGGAAATGGAATTCTAGGATCCTTTCAACTTTTGGGATCGAATTTAATATGTTAAACTCTCATATATACTCCTTTTGATTATATTTGTGAGTGTGTAATTTTCTATTATTCATTGTTAGTAATTTTGATTTTGTTCTGGATGTTAAGGTGATTGATCACTCATATTTGATCTTTGATTTGAATTTTAGTTGGAAAACATTTTTTGAATCTTATTTTGAATCAAATCACCTAACAATTCTAAATATTAGGAATATATTTGGAGTTGTTAGTTGAATAAGTTCTAAAAATTAATGTAAGGTTTCTAACTGGATGAACTGGGAAATCATTTATTGAGTTAGACTCAGAACTTCTAAATGTAAGGATATTAATGAACTCAATAACATTAGATGGTAGAAATATCATATGTATGTGATCTTAGGAGAATATAAGAGTGAGATAATTAGTGAACTCATAATAGAAATTATAAGTATCTTCCAAGTCCCTGAGGTTCAACAACTCATACTTCTTATATTGCCCAAAAACCTCATCAATCGAAATAGAAATTATAAGTATCTTTCAAGTCCCCAAGATTCAACAACTCATACTCCTTCTTATATTGCCTAAAAATCTCATCACTCATGCTTCCTTGATTCATGATAGAAGATTCTTCAATTCATAAAGTTACCGTTTACATTATAACGAAGGTTCTTCTACATAAATTCAATACACCTCATTTTTTTAAGAGTTTAAAAGGAGATTATATAATAGTTCAGAAATTGAAAAGTGAGTTTCTAAAAGAGAGAAAGCAAGAATTTTCATGAGAGAAACCACATGTGAGCAAATACTCTATAAGAAAGAAAGAATTCTTCAAGAATCATTTCAAAGCTTTCTCAATCAAGAAGATAATCAAGAAGTGTTCAAGATTGAGAGAGAAAACTTGTGCTCGAAAGGTTTATTCCTTATAATCCTAATTCTTGCTTTTTAATGATCTCTAATAGGAAATTATGTCTTAAGATAGTGCTTATTGAGTGTACAAGCCAGAGAAATGAGTTCTCTCATTAAGGGATTAGCAAAAGATTCCTACAAGGCGTATGAAAGTGCTTTTAGGGCCTAGGTTGATCAATTATCTCATTGTAATTCATTTTGTCAATAGTGAAAATTCTTTGATCTAAGGTTGATCATATATAGAAGACTGGATGTAGTTTCGTGCAAATCTTTTTGAAAAATAAACTAGTATAAATCTTTGTGCAAATTAATTTATCTCTTTCTCATTGTATATCTTGAATATTAATTTTTGCATGTGTTCTTGAATATTGATTTTGAATGTAGATTTTAAATGCTAGATGATGTTCAACAATGTATGATCAAACCATTATGATTGTGAGCCAACGAACTTAACACTTAATGTACCAACAGTCATACTTTTTTTTCCACAAACAATAATTAAGGTTTATGACCTAATATAATTAAGCACTTCAATATATATACTCAAATGCAAACTTAAACCATAACCTTAAGCTCGTAAAAAAAAAAATAAAAACAGCTTATAAAAAGATTATAAGCCATTTCTATAGCTCACATAAGCTATTCTAAATGTCCCCATATTGTTGAATTTCCTGGACTTGGGAATCAATTTGTTATTCAGAAAAAGACTAGAAACTATATTATTTTGTAAAAGTTCTTTCTCAACTTCCAGTCACAGCCTAAACTATATTATATAACGGGTAGCAACTAAACTAGAAAATGCACATATAGAGGAAATGAAAGAAAAACCTCAATTACCCAAAAAAGAAAAATTAAAGCGTCAAAGACTTGTAAGATATCAAAGAACCTTGAGTTGCTTAATGACAGCTAGAAAAAGAAAATGTAAGTACAAGAAAATGAAACAAACTAGACATGAAATATAATTCTATTGAACGAATGAATTCTAAACTCTATCTTTTCGTACTTCAAGAACAGAAAAATCAAAGCACTTGTTGGAGGGATCCCAATAAAGACCAACAGTATCGTACAACTTTAAGTCCCTTCTCTTACAAAAATCTTCGTTCCAGTTTCCTGTGAAAACATAAGATTTTGATCTTTTCTGAAAAATGAGAGAATGCGTAGTCTTTGTGTCGACATCCCAAATGTCAACTTCATAGCCTTTTTCAATCTCATCATCAGAAGCTTCCAACACAGGAAGCACAAATCTCTCTGCTTGTCGTTTCAACACCAAGAGTCTCTTATTCAAATCAAAGATTTGCAACTTCTTCTTGATTTTCCAAGGGCCTGCTTGTGACTCCAGCGTTTCAGGATCTGAATCATCTTCCTGCTCCGTTGTTTCCAAATTTTCTTGAACATTTTGCGGATTCATGGTTGTCATAAATTGATCTAGCACACTTTGCTGTTCCATTGTTGGCAAATGTTTTGACACATTCTGCTGCTCTCTGGTTGTTAAATGTTCTGGCACATTCATCATATTTTCAAAATGTTGTAGTTGTAGCACTGTTGTCCCATGGATGCAAAATATTCTAGCTCATACTGCATGGTTTCAAACTGTTGTAGTTGTAGCACATTCTGCTGCTCCGTAGTTGCCAAATGTTGTGGTTGTAGCACAATTTGCTGACCCATGGTTGCCATATTTTCTGGAACATTCTGCTGCTCCATGGTTTCCAAATGTTCTGGAACACTCCGCTGCCCTATTGGTTCCAAATTTTGTAGAACATTCTGCTGCTCTAATTCTACCAAATTTTCTGGAAAATTTTGCTGGTCCTTTATTGCCAAACATAGATCCATTAGATTCAGAGGGTCCAAGGTTTCCAAATATTGATCTAGCAGATTCTGTCGGTCCATGGTTGCCAAAAGTTCCAGCACATTTTGATGCTGCTCCGTGGTTCCCAAGAATTGATTTAGCTGTTGTAGCACCTTCTGCGTGTTCATGTTTGTCAAACGTGGTAGAAGAAACACATTTCGCTGTTCCATGGTTGCCAACTGTTCCGGCACATTCTGCATGGTTGCCAAATGTTCCATCACATTTTGCTGCTCCATTGTTGCCAAATTTTCTGGCACATTATGCCACTCCATAGTTGGAAAATGTTCTTGCAGATTCTGTTGCTCTGTGGTTGCCAATTGCTCTCGCACATTCTTCATGGGTTCAAAATGTTGTAGCATATTCTGCTGCTCCATGATTGCAAAATATTTGGGCTCATTCTGCATGGTTTCAAAGTGACCTGCAAAAGTCTTTATGCTCTCCATATGTTCATTGTGCATGGCTACCAAATATTCTGGCACATTCTTCTGCTGCATGGTTTCTAAATATTTTGGCACATTCTGCTGCTTGTTCTTGCTAGTGTTTATTTCCCTACAATACAAAAT